CAATATGATTAGGATTTCAGCAAAAAGAAATGGGGAGGAAGTACATTCTAGGCATACGAGTTGATTGAAGTAAAGATATCAAAAGGTTGAATGCATTCAAGAAATTAACAGTCTGTTTTGGTAAGAGCATCGAGTATGTGACATAAGGCTAGAAAAGCAGATTGGAGACAGACTCTGAGAAACATTTAAAAACCAGACTCAGGAGCCTGGGTTTTATTCAGAAGGCAATAGGGAGTCATTGATGTTTTTTAAGCAAGGAAATGAACTGATCAAAACACAGTGCTGTGGGAAGAACTGTGGTAGTAGGTAAGACAGAGAGAGAGAGAGAGACTGAAAGCAGAGAGAGACTGTACAACAGTAAGAGCACTGACTGGAGTCAGAGGGTTCATAGCTCAGGCTTGCTCCCTCTGTGACTTTGAGGAAGACAGTTAATCTAGCTGGGCTGCAGTTTCCTCATCTCTAAAATGGAGGAGGTTTACAGTTGATGGCCTTTGAAGTCCCTTCTAACTCTCTCCTTTTATGATGCTACGTTCGTAAGGTTTCCCCAAATATTCCAAGAAGGGGTCTAAATGGGATTGATGGTTGTGTACCTGGGGAGGAAAGATTTTAGAGATACTGAGGAAACAGACTCATAGGACTTGGTGGCTGACTGGATGAGGGGTGTAAGATAAGGGAAAGAGAAGAGTTGAAGATGATTCTGTGATTTTTGAGCCTGAGTGGCTCTTGAGCATGGTTTTACCATTAATGGAAGTATGTAGTTAAACTAGAATGAGAAAGGAGCGAGTAGGCATCAAGAAAGATGAATTAAGAGAATATTTCTGTAGTGAAAGAAGAGGGCTAAGGGTAGGACTGATTCAGGGGTCATAGCTATATATCTGGAAGGGAGGCCATCTAGTTATAGAATCACATTGAGAGATGGACTGGACCTCAAAGGCTATCTTGTCTAGCGCCTTCATTTTAGGGATGAGGAAATTCAGGCACAGGAAGTTTAATTGACCTATTCATGGTCACACAGGTAATATACATGAGGTGAAATTTGGATCCAGGTTCTCACATTAAAGAGCTCTTTATACCACACAGTTTCCTTTGATTAAACACTCCTTAAATAATGACTTAAGAAACCAGAAGGATATTCAGAATGATCATACTACTGAAATTAATTTAAGATTTAGTGTTATACCAATTAAATTACCAAGGTGATACTTTACAGAGCTCAACAAAATAATGACAAAATTTATTTGGAGGAACAAAAATGCTAAAACATCAAGGGAACAATAAAAAAAGTGAGTAAAGAGTGAATAGTAGTAGTACTTAGAGACCTCTGATTATATTATAAAGCAGCAATAATCAAAATAGAAAAGTAGCTTAGTGAAACAATCAACAAGGAAGAATCAGAAGCAATTTATCTCAATAAAACAGTGTTCAAAAAATTCTAAAATACAAGTTACCTAGTCAAGAAAACTTCCAATTTGGTAAGAGTTGCTATTTAAAAATGAAAGCAGTCTGGCAGAAATGAGATTGAGAGCAGCGGTTTACATCATATACCACAGTAAATTCAAAATGGATGCCTGACATGAATATTAAGGGTTATACCATTAAAAAAAATCAGAAGAAAATCAAGTTATAGTTATGACTAGGGAGTAAATTCTTAACTAAATAAGGGATAGATGTGATCACAAAAAATAAAATGGGCCATTTCAGTGGCGTGAAATTGAAAATATTTTGCATAAATAAAATTAACACATAATATCCATTTTATTTTTAAAATACAATTTTTTTCTATTATTATGAGCTTGACAAACACCAACAACATGCTCACTTCCATGTATGAAGAAGAACAGAAAAAAAATATTGCATATGAAACCACAAATCTCAGTTACATACAGCTTAGATCTTTTAAAGTATGTAATGAATTTAACATTAGTTCTAAAAACTGTCCTGCTTGTCCGGGTCTCTTTTCTGAACTTCCTTCTGTTCCGTTCTGTGTATTTTAGATGTTTCCTTGACTCTTTTTTTTTGAGGGACACTAATATTGCTCCCCTTCCCTCTTTAGTGTCTACCAATCCCTTAAAATAAAAACCCTCTCTCGTAATAATTTTAGTTAAGCAAAACAATTCACATTGGCCATATCTGAAAATATATGTCTCATTCTACACCTCTAGACCTTCACCTCTGTGAAGAGGTGGGAAGCATGATTCATCATCGGTCTTCTGGAGTCGTGGTCAACACCCTCATTTTACAGATAAGGAAACTGAGGCCCAGAGAGGTTAAATGCCCATGGTCGCACAGGTAGTATCAGAGGGGGAATTTGAACCCAGGTCTGCTGCCTCCATTCAGTTCTCTTTCCACTGTACCAAGCTGATTCTTTAAGGGAAGAACTGTAAGTCTTAGAAGAAGAAGGTTTTCTCTAACCTTTTCTACTGTGTGGTAGCCCAGCCCACTTCCATTTTAACATTCATGCATTTATTTAGAAATTCTTCGTTTCTCACAGTCATAAATATAGAATGAGTAAAATTATTCCTCCAGAGAAGATTACCCTGACAGATGGGTTACAATTGCTCCAATGGGATAGATACACTTAAATTCAACAGTGGGGAACGTAAAGCCTAATTGGTAGCTCTCATCAAGTGAGTATTGCATTAGGGTGGGGTGAAAGAAAAGATAAAACTCTTATTGTTTGGACTAATATTAAATTTACAGTAATTACAGAAACCAAAATGTGGGAGAAATCTTTCACAAGTCTTTATTGCAAAACATGTATAAAATTACATTTTTTCTTCACCCTTCCCACCCTTTTAAAAGAAAACTCTTTTCATTTCCTTCCAAATCTGTGACACTACCACCATGAAATATTGTCCCATAAGGGCACACGATGTAGTAGCGGAAAATCAGAGAAATGGAGAGATGCCATAATAAGTTCTCTGGTCCAGCTCCCTGCCTCCGGGCAGGTGTAATTTTGCTCCTGATGATCTCGGAAAGAGGAGACATTGATCCTGTTTTTAAAAATGTGTAGGGATAGAGATTTCAACATCTTCCTCTGTATCTTGTCCTAGTGCTCAGTTAAAAATGTCTCCCAGCTTTCCTTCACAGAGGACGTTTGAAGATGGTCGATTAAGGACAAGTAAGCACTACTCTGGTTCAGAGATATCAAGTTGGAAGGGTCCTTACAGTTCATCTGACTCAAGCACCTTATTTTACAGATGAGGAAAATAAGGTTCAGAAATGTAAAGTGACTTGCCCAAGGTTACACAGGTAATAAGTGACAAACCTGGGATTTGAACCCAATCAAGTGCTCTTCGCTAAAGTGGTTTGCTAAAAGAATTCCAGAACTTTTACTATTAGTTCCCTCTAACAACTTGGGGTTTTCTTTTTCCCTCTCCCCAAGATGACTCTGAAGCAGTTCACCAGTAGCCATTTTGGATGTGTGTTCCTCCTTTATGGTGCTTGGTTACAGTTCCAAAAGAATAGCTAGAACTTGTTGAATCTTGCAGGTTGGTTTTCTTGGTATGGATAAGGGGAGCAGGATCAGGAGAGAGAGCAATTCAAATGAAAGGGCCTTCACAGTGAAAATAATGCCTCTTCATGGTCTGCTGAAGTTATTGAAGCAACTTGTATTGGGTTTGTATGTGTAATACCTGCTGTGTAAACACAGGCTGGTCAAGTATCATTGTGTGGGCCTGTAATCCTGAAATTTATGGTATGTTCCCAACACTTCCCCACCCTTAAGCAAGCAGGAAAAAGCTTTATTCAGCCATATGATATACAATTGATTCTGTGATAGTTTGGTGGGAAGAATGAACTTGTAAGGAAAAGGAAAATGGGAGCTCGATTCAAAAAGCATTCTTGGATCTATTGGGTCTCAGCTCAAAAAAAGATGTTACATAAATAACTATTACCACTCTTTTCATCTTTTTTGTTTGTTTGCTATTGTTTCGTTGAATTTTGTTCTAAAAGAAACCAATTTCCAGAAAGACTACACGTTGGGATTGCCTATGAAAAACACTTTGGTTTGTCTCTGAATTTTGTTTTTAGATCAGGTTTCTGATTTCATCAGTAAGAGGATCTCCTGGTGAGGAGTTTCCTCTATCAAGGAAGGTTGTCAACAGTTCTGCAACCAAGAGTCTTTTAGAACTGCCAGGAGCACTGAGATGTTAAGTGGTTTATCCAAAGTCACACAGCTAGTATGTGTCAGAGTTAAGACTTGAGCCTAGGTCTTCCTGATTCCAGGACCAGCTGTCTTTCCATTATACCCCACTACCTATCTTTTTTTTTTTTAAACAGTGTTCAATTTAGAACTGTTCAATGATCATGTCTTTCAAAAATGTTTAAAACCAAACCACTGTGTGACTGTGACATATTTGTACCATGTGAAAGAAAGAATGTAGCTACCAAACGAGAAAAGTAATTTTTTTCTTCTTGAGTTGGTAAGCTATTCTTCTATACATGCTTCCTCTTATACACGTGTTATTAAAACACTTTTTTCTCCCTCACAACCTTGAATTTCTTGATAGCAAGCTTTGTAATCTACCAGAGAAATGCATCTAGTTTGTTGGTGTTTTGGGCTGCACCGAATTCTCTGGTTTGTGTGGCTCTGAGGCATCTTGGGAGCAAGTATGCAGTGCAGTATCCAGTTGGGAATGCTTCTGAGTTCTTTCCGCTCCCTCTTGGACTCAATATCTCGTATTCTACTTGGGCATGGGAGACGATTGTGTGATTGAGGGCAGCTAGCAACCCTACAATGGCTATTTACTTCTAGTGCAAGTTAGCAAGGCAATTTATGCAAAAAGTGGTACCTAAGAGCAAAAGCAAATGAATTATCAGGAAAAATGTGTTGAAATGGGTGGGTTGAGTGGATCAAGAATTTTTTTTTCTGTCCCACTTGCCTTGGGGGTAGGGGAAGTGCCTAAACATAAAGGAGTAGAACTTAGGAGATTAAAAAAAAAAGTCATCTTTCACCATGTTTACTTACGCCTCTTTTCTTTTTTGCTTCTCCCTCGCAGATGTGACTCCATTTAGCATGTCAAAGACTGCATTTATTCACCAATTCCTTTCTTCTCCTACATGATCTCCATTTTCTTTTATACACGCTTCCTCCAGCCATCTGCAGTACATCAATTTCAGGTATTTTGAACTGTGTAGAATCTCCACGTGTACAGAAGTGTGTTTGGACTCACCCTTCCCTCAGAAACCTGAACAATGTATTTACCATCTCCACCTAGATGACAGCAGAAAGTTCACCACTTAGAATCTCTACCACTGACTCTTGGCGCTGGCTACCTTATTTATGGGCTTCTCCGCTGGCACCAAGCCTTTCAGCAGTACTCTCATGCCTGTAAATCCCACTTCTCTGTATCTGAGGTAACACTGCAATAGCCAAGCGCCAGATAAGGCAGGTGATTGTGTTCCATCATGACTGTCTGGTTTCCTGTATAATAAACATATTACTTTATATTTTTAGGGGATGAAAAATGTGCTGCTATATGGTTTAAAATTTTAATTCTGAACACTTTTCAGAAATGAATTTCCCCAAAGAGGCATTTTTAATATCCTGGTGAAGTCTTTGGATCTGTATTATAAATCCTTTAGTATGGTACTTGTTAAAAGATGAAGCCAATATATTCAAAATCCAGAAAAAAAAAGCCATCTGTTAGTAGAGATCTAGATTCTGGTCACATAAACACATCTATGTAAATGGAAGGTCATAGCATTTATGTCTGATCTGCTTGCAATTGTACCTGAAGTGATTGGCATCCTAATGGGATGGCCAGCCTGGTTCACCTATCAGTCCATCAGAAGTATTTAAAATGCTATAAAATCTGACCAATGGAAATGGAGAATTTTGTTCCCCAGCCCTTAGCCCTTTGCCCACAATCTGTTCTCCTGGGAAGTGGAATTAAAAGATACCTGCTTTCTTATAGGAAGATTTTGCAAAGATGTTCTTGAACAAATTCAGGAACATCCTAGCAGTTGGAAAAGGAAGATTAAAATTCAAATATTTTCATGCCTGACTGTAAATGTGTAGTTCTGTATAGGGATTCTGTTGTTCTAATTCATTTAGTCCAGGATTATTTTTGTTAGTATTCTCTTTTGGCACCATATAGATATGACACCCCCATCTTAGTAGGTGACAGTGGAAGAAATTGGTATAAATAGGGTTTGGAGAAGGCAAAGTTAAGAAGTGCTTGATACTGCCTTGGCTTCACACTTTATAAATCCTTAATTCTAGATGTGTAGATTAAGATGTGACTTGTCCAAGCAAAATGTCATTAACCTGTTTTACTCTTCCCTCCACACACACACACACACACACACACACACACACACACACACACAATCTTGTTTGCTGCAGTTTTCTGTGACAAATTTGCTATGTAATCCAACAATTAGTTGCTGAGTTTTGTGTGTGATCCATCTTGGGACATGTCTGTACCAGCCAATGACGGTTCAAGATGGACCAGGAACAAGGTATTGTGCCTATGCTATCAGGTACAATTTTTGCAAATCAATCTTCTTATCCCTGGCTATGGCCACCAGTGGAATAAAGTTGATGCCAACAGTGCTGTTGTGTGTAGGCAGATGGTTAGCAACAGCTAGATGTGCATTTCTGCACGTGTCTATCTGTAGGCATATGTGTATAACCATCTAAGGAGCAAGCTAAAAGATTGTTGATTTGCTTCAAACCTTGTATTTAAAACAAACAACTATTTAGCCTAGACCTACCCTAGCTTTTTTCCTTAAAGACTGCCTAGCCTAGTAACATTTTACAGCAAAACACCCTTGATTTATTTATTGGTTAAATGTTGCACAATTTTTTTTTTGATGGCGACGAGGGGAGTGAAAGGAGAGAGTGAGTGGGAGATAGATAGTTCTATTATTTATTTAATAAAGTTCATCACTTTGCATTCGTTCATTTTCCACCCTGTTTCCTGGATGTGTTCCTGAAGATATGCGCTGCCAGAAAAAGAAACTGTCAGACTGACATTTATAGTCTGCTAAAGGGGCCAGCCTTGGGTTAAGTCTGCCGCCCTATCACTTAGTTCATATAGTTGAAGTTGCCTCTGATTTTTTTCCCCCTAAAAACATCGGTCCTAAAGAAGAATGCCAATTAATAAATTGCCATAATATCATTGTACATTATGTATGTTGTATTATTTTTAATGCACTAATTTTGTGTAAATGGGCAAAGGTCAGTAATTTTGGGTCTTAATTGTTTATTAGTATACATTATGAATCAATTTTTAAATTTTTTTAAATTTGAAAACATGCAGGCCTAGGGAAGTGATGAATCTACTTCCATTAAAAAATGCTTCTTTCATTAATGCACATAGATGCAATAGGTGCTTGATATTAAAAGAGGACATGCAAAGCTATTTTATTCACAAGGAAAGTTGGTTTTGACATCTCATAAAGATAATGCTGCTAGCTGCTGATCAGCCAGTCAGTTCACCTAGCTTACTTTTTTATGGGACCTCCAAACTAACTTTTACATTGTGATGATAAGGTAACTTTGTGTTTCTGAAATGCTTAAAGCGGTCAATTAAATTACATATTTAAACCTAGGCCTTGTACATTAAACTTAAATTTATGTAATAACTCACATGTTGTCTTAGTAGCAAATACTCTGCAGGTTTTGTTTCCTTCTTATTGAAGGAAGCATCTTAGTTTTAAATTTCAGAATTTGCTTGATTTTTTTTTTGTATTTTGCTGCTTTAAATTTGTACATAAAGTAAACCACATCTCTGTTCTTTGGATCTTACAGTTGTATTTTGAGGTTTTATACAGGTTTATGCTAATGTGCTCCTTCTCTTCTTTCCTGTGAATAATTTTCTAATTCATGCCATTTCTTGAGAGTTCTTTGGTGTTGTAAGGGGATAGCCAGGTAGTTTAAATAAATGCAATCTACTTTCAAATGAAAACCCTAACATACAGGATAACTGTTTGCTAAATTAGAAGAATGTAGTTTTAGACTTCAAGATTTATGGTTGGGGGGAAAATCTTGTTAATGCCAAATGTGTTTAGCTGCTCAGTTACTGAAGAATTCTGTACAAATGTATTTCTTCAAATTACTATTTATTATGTTAGTTTTGTTGAATGAAGGAATGATTAGTAGCCTGAGAAAGGGACTAGGAAAAGCTTCTAAAGGTAAATATGTACAAGTTGTGTGTGTGTGTTGTGTGTGTGTATGTGAGGGGGATCCACCAGAATTTATGGAAATCTGGGGGGACAAGTGAGGAGATGAAGTTTACCTAGAATAGACTCAAGTGGCCATTAGGCTTTCCTCTCCTTCAGAAACCTAAAGATCACTGAATGTAGTCTATATTCAAGGAGAGGATAAATAAGGATAATATGGAGATGAGGATGTAATTCTTTTTCCTAGTAGGAAAAGAAAATAAATGAAAACTCAGATTGCCATCTTTGGATTCCATCTGTGTGAAGAGAATAGGTATTCAAAAGTCTAGGTTCATAGCATTTTGGGAAACTACTTCATAGATGGGGAGAAAAAGGATTACCTTTTATAATCTTAATCTGGGTATTTCAATCATCCTACAAGGGGCTTCTTAATCTCTAATTACTTCATGTAGTGTTAACAATTTGGATTTTAAAAATATGTTGGATGGGGGCCAGCTAACCATAGAAGGAAGCCATACTCCATGGAGTTTCTCTCTTATTCATGAAAAAATTGTGTATCAATTTTAAATACTTTTCACTGTGGGCAGATATAAGGGGAATGTGGCATTCTGTAGAATTATACATGTTTAGTTTGTAAAGTGTGTAATGTGTACTGCAGATGTGTATTCTCTGGGCTCTATGTATCTGTACAATAGCTTTCATTTTAGGAAAAAAATTCTGGAAAGACATTTTTTTGGTGGTACAAGGGGGAAAATGATCATCTGCATCAAGTAATGATGCTCTAATGTATTAAACCTAATAGAAGATCAGAAAATAACCCTTCCCTGCCTCATGGATGAGTTTTGTTTATCTTTTAGGTCCTAAGATGCTATTCAAGATGTATGGATACACTGGCAGACTGCATGATGTATAATTTGAAAAATGTTAAAAGTGGAAAATAAAATTGAATTAAACTTTATCTTGTCTGATTCCCTAGGTTTATGTTGTCCTAGGAGAGCTGTCACTTAAGATTTTAGTATTAGTGTTGTGCCTTTGTAATAGAAAACTTATTTTGCTGATATCAAAGAAGCTCATTTTCTTGGAAAGCCAGGACTATATGACACCACCAATTTGATAGAAACAGATAACAAAGCAAATTTCAGAACCAAAAAGAAATGGCACACACCCTTCCCCTCTCCCGCTCAAACCTCCAGACTTCATGTAATGCCTGGCACTGCAATATAGCAGAATAACTCTTATGCTCGATATTCGCTTATCTTACTGAACTAACTCATGGTTTCCTGTTGCCTTCAACTCTGAGCTCTGCTAGGACTCTGCCTTGGAAGCAACACTCCAAAGCTGGAATACCCATAGGGAAAGTGGGACTGGACCAGTAATCAGTAAAAGTAATTATGAGTGATGTTTGCATTGGCATTAGATAAGTGGCAGGTTTAATTCTAGTATTCATGTCAGGTCAAGTCTTGCAATTTGTCTTATATACACCATAAATCATAGAGAAGTAGGATGCCTCATCAGAGTGACACATCAGATTGAAATGTGCTCTACAAAGGCATCCTGAACCATGAGATTCTGATTTCCCTCTGGCATTTTCTTCTTCCTAAGATTTACAAAGAAGACTCTAATAGAAACTACATAGACTGGCTTCCCACTTTCCCCCTGTGCTGGAAAGTTTGGTAAGCCCAGGACATATCCCTTTACTTCCCAGGGGTTCCTGAACTTTTCTTGATTGTAAGTTTTCTGTTAAGTCTCAGGAACATTTCTCAGCTGTAACCTCCTTCCAAAGTACCACCCTCCCTGTTTCTCAATGTCTGCCATTAAAGGAAATGCACATGATGAAATCTCCATTCTTTAGAATGGATAATTTAGTTGGCAATAGGACAGTAGTATAGCCTCCCCCTTACCAATTAGGGGGTAAGCAAGGAGTTGGGGCAGCTAGGTGGCTCAGGGGATAGAGTTTCATTCCTGGAATCAGGAAGTCTCATCTTTCTGAGTTCAAATCCATCCTCAGACACTTACAAGCTGTGTGACCCTGGGCAAGTCACTTAACCCTGTTTACCTCAGTTTCTTTATCTGTAAAATGAGCTGAAGAAGGAAATGGCAAGCCACTCCTGTCAAGAAAATCCCAGATAGGGTCACAAAGAGTTGGACATGACTGAAAATGACTGAACAACAACAAAAGGAGTTGGAGAGGTGATGAGAGTAGATACCTGTGGGCTCAAATAGCATGAGATGATGTTCT